TATTATCATTGGATGCCCTTCACCTCAGCGAAAATAAACTTGAAAGGAGCATACCGTTGTCTATTGTCAACCTCACCTTCCTTGTAAGATTAAATCTTGAAGAGAACATGTATATTGGGAAACCTCTCCACTGCTAAGTGGAAACCACCTGCAAGGTTCTATCCCATGCGAATTAGATAAGCTTTACTCCTTGTGTGGTCTTTATCTCTCCGTTAATGACTTGTCAGGTGATTTCTCCTCTCCTTCACAGTCTTTGCAAATGTTTCTAGCCTCGAATATGTGGACCTCTCTGCAAATCCTAAGCTAACCATTTCCCATAAGAACTTTACACCTACTTTCCAGCTTAATAGTCTCAACTTGTCATCATGTGACATGAGAAAGTTCAATTTAAGTTCTTCAGGCTTCCTATGGACTCAAGACCAGTTAGACTGTGTTGATCTCTCAAAGAACAACATTGTTGGGAATATCCCCTTTTGGTTGCTTGAAAACACTAGAGGAGAACTACTATTGCTGGACGGGAATTTGTTTTCAGGAGTACAAGTTTTACCTAACATCTCTTTCAACCTTCAAAGTTTGGACATCTCCAAGAACCAAATCACTGGGAATTTACCAAAAATATTCTCTAGTTATTTTGCGAATTTGCAATCACTTAAAATGTCCCAGAATTCCCTTAATGGTGACTTAATTTCCTACATCAATGACTTTAAGGGATTGAGAGTGTTGGATTTGTCTAGCAACAACATCTCAGGAAATTTGCCTTCCATCTTCCCCTGTCACCTAACAATTTTGGATGTATCAAACAACAAAATCACTGGAGAATCACCCTCCAATTTGACCAGAGGAAACGCGCTCATGTTTTTGAGCCTGTCTAATAACTCCTTGAAAGGACCCTTGCAATCCAAACATTTCAAATTACCAAATTTGGTATCATTCCATCTAGATAACAATGCATTCAATGGAACCATACCAAGGAACTTGTTGCGGTGTAGTTCATCTCTAACTGTTTTAAATCTTGCAAATAATAAATTATATGCTCCGATGCCAATTGATTTATTTTGGCTTTTGGAATTGAAAGTGCTAATCTTGCGAAGTAATTTTTTCGATCATATTCCACTGAAGCTGTGTCAAGTAAAAAGTTTGGCTGTTTTGGATATTTTCCGAAACAACCTTGAACGTCCCATACCTCCTTGCTTCAATCATTTTTCTGCATGGACAAATACCTCTTCTACAAGTTTTACCGAAACAACCTTGAAGGTCCCATACCTCCTTGCTTCAATCATTTTCTGCATGGACAAATACCTCTTCTACAAGTTTTATTTCATCTGATTATGCAGCAAATTTTACCCTTTCTGTCATGCATGGTTCCGAGTTTCATCGAGGCACTGGCTCACAAGAGAAGGTGGACTTTACAAAGGGAAATATGTATATTTATCGCGGGGATCCTCTTAAGTACATGACTGGTTTGGACTTGTCGGAAAACAAATTAAGTGGCCCTATTCCAATAGAACTTGCCATGTTGAATCTCTCCAACAATCTTCTAACAGGTCCAATTACCAAATCCTTTGGAGGATTATTGGGTCTCACAACATTAGATCTTTCTCACAATGCACTCTCTGGTGAAATCCCTCCTCAATTAACGAGGCTTACCCATTTGTCCTTGTTTTCTGTTGCCAATAATAATCTCTTTGGAGAGATACCAGACACAACCCAATTCTGTACTTTCAATGAGAGTTCTTTTAGTGGAAACCCAAGACTAAATACACAAGGAAAGAGGTGTTCGACAACTCTGTCGCCAAATGTACCAGGTGCATCAAGCGATAATGATGGAGAAGATGAAGATGAAGGAGAGGAAGGGTGGGTGGAAATGACACCTGCATTCTATGCTTTCATTGCCTTGGGTTATGCCATTGGCATATGGGGAGAGCACTGGCCTTTCTTTTTCTTGGCAAGAAGAGAGGACATGCTTGCGTGAGGGCCATGGATGCAAAAGTCTCCCGACTTTTCCATGCATTTTGCCACAGGCATTACAGTCATTCGACTTCTTCGCCCGTTCACAA